AATTAACATGGGCATTGCTCACTTTTTAAGTGAACAGTGTCAAAGTGAATTTAATTCATCTAGCATCACCTGGCATGGACATTGTTATAAACAGTGCCCATGTAAATAAAGAGAATTAGTTGGAGAGAAGCAGCTCTCAGTTGTTTTTACAAAACCTCGGTTTGATGGAAAAAATTATAGGGCTCGTCAAATAAAAAACTGTTTTTTGTTATTACCAAACACTTAATTTACATGATTTATTTTAAAAGTTAAAGCTACTGCAAACACTCTTTTAATATACCATAAGTATTTGAGATTTGAACCCAAATTTGGATGTCTATTTGCTGCAAGTTTTGGTGCTCATCAACCACGAAATTATCTCACTTGAACGAATTACAATTTAATTATAAAGATTTCTTAATCTTGAGTTCGTCAAAAAATTAATAATGCCAATATTCCATATTGATTAAAAAAAGATGTGGAGTGGAGCGCCTTAAAAAATACTCTGAATACAATTTCTGTCAAGAGAAGTATGCGTTTTTAGAAACAAGATCTATGAAGTATATGGATTAACTGAAGATCATGAGGTACTACACCTCTTAAACTATATGGGCTAGCATCACCAAAAACGTCTTAAAAAAGAGCAATGCATTTCTCTCCAACGAGGATGTTAAAAAAAGACCATGGGTCCACCTTCCAAGTGGCTGGTTTACTGGTAGGTAGGTACTATAGCCCAAAAATTAATTTAGTATAACTCTAAAAGATAAATATATTTTTAATGCGTAGGTCTGCACAGTTCATTCTTTGATGTATTATTTTTTATTGAATATGTAAATTTTTTATTTTTTTGATTTGATTTTCAAACTTTTATTTTTAATGATTTAGTTTTGATTGAAGATGAATTAATTTTAATTTTTTTTATAAAATAGTGAGATTGAAAAAAAAAAGAATCAAGATGAAAAAAACACCAAACATTGGTGGTGTGCCATAATTTTTTTAAAAAATATATTTTGGTTCTTAAATATCAAAAATAACATAAATTATACAACTTTGATACCTCAATATTTTTTAAATTCAATTTTAATATAAAATTCTTTTTTTGTTATTTTTTATTTTTTGGCATCTAATTAAGAGAAGTCATTGAATCTCAACAAAAAAAATATATATATATTGTTAATACTGATCTAGACCATCAAAATAAACAATATTTCTATCCAATGATTCTATTTAACGAAAAAAGTTCATGTTAAATGTTTTTTTACTTTTAAAGTTGGTAAAAAAACATATATAAACTCATATTGATTTTTGGTTTCACATTAATTTTGGTTTTTGAAATGACTTCTTAAGTTCTTTTAAGTCATGGACAAGTTTATCATGCTTTTAAGGTATTTTACAGGTAAAAAATATTTAAATACTAATTTTTCTAACTATTAATATAATCAAAATATAAGTAAATCAAACTACGTGTTATTTATTTTTTTTCAAAAAACTTTCAATTAGGAAATATATCATCTATTCCAATTGCAACAGAAAAGGAAAAAAAGGGCTCAACCCCAGGTCCTGATAAAAGAGGTTAGATACAACAATACTTGACCTCTGCTTTTTTAAAAAAAATTAATGGTTTTTTTCTAAAAAAAATTAATATTTAGATTAGTATCCCTTCTCTCTTTTATTTTATTTAGAGAGTCTTTTAGATGACGATTTTTTTAGTTATGTATTTAAATTTGAAGAGTTTTTATAATTTATTTATATTTTTTTTTTATATTTTTCATAGATGAAATTTATTTTTAAAAATAAAAATTTATTTGCAAAAGATATTTATAATATGTGCCTTGTATGATATCTTGTTTCTTTTTATTTTATTCAATCAATTTAATTATGTCTCTAATTCTATTATTGTTTACTTGAATAAAAAATTATTTTAATAAAATAATTAAAAAATATAATAAAGTAAATATCTGGTTTTTTTAAATTAAATATTTTAATTTGCATTTTTTTTCAACTTTTTAATTTTAATTTATAGATATTATTTATTATTTATTTATTATCACATATGATTGTTATCTGAACTCGCGACGTCATAAAGGTTACAATGCTAATAAAGCAAGAAATCGTAAGAATAGTGTGTGTCTAACTATATATATATATATATATATATATATG